TTCATCAGCCTGCTCTGAGAGGTGCTGGCTGCTGGAGCAGCCAGGCAGCACATCCCACATCTCTCCTGAGGCAAATTTCTTACCAGTTTTTGGAGCATTTTGTAGGAAAAGAAGAGAAAAGCTCACCGTGCCATGGTTTCTTTCACAGAAAATAACATGCCTTATGCAGAGGTCACCGTCCCTTGGCTTTCGCAGGCAAACAGAAGGGAAATGAGTTGAAGGCTCTGCCAACCCACCGCCGCCTTCCAGCCAGGGCTGCACCAAATGTCAGGGGCTGAAAATGACCCTGTACTCCCCTCACTTCCCTGGTGGCTGCAAGGCTTCATGCAGTCTCATCCCTCACTCAGGACAGAAGGGATTGGTGCTTTTATTCCCGGCTGATCTCACGCTTAAATGCAACATTGCCTGCACATGCACTGATACGCACGTGCAATTACATGCTCCTATAAATGCAACCTCTAATGGGGCACGCACTTGCTATCTTAGGGCGCCTGGACTTCCAGTCGGCCCCATCCCCAAGCTGGAACTGCATTTTTTAAACAAAAAGTCAGTTCCACTTTAAAAGCATTTCTCTTGCCTCAAAACAACTGCCCCCCGAGAGCCACCAGGCCGGCTGCCCCTCCTGCCAGTGAATGACCCCCCCTTCCCACAGCTCCATACCCAGATGTGGCCCTGCAGCTACAACCTCCCCGAGCTCCCTGCCCATCCTCAACGTTCAGATCGGTCCCTGGCACATTTTGTGCACAACCAGTCTTGGCTGGGGATGGAAAAGAGGAGAAAAGCAGGACTGGCGATCACAGAGGCTGGAAAAATAGCCCCAAGCTTCAAATCCCTGTGTGCCTCACCAGTAGCCCTTGGCATTAAATATATCCAGTGTCTTTGATCCCACAGCGCTTCAGAGAACAAGCAGTCCATCCCTGCATCCTGGGGATGCTGCTACTGCCAGCAGCCCCTGGAAAATCACCGTTTCACAACGGAGAATGGGAGGGTTGATTAACTGGCATTGCTGCCGCTTGCATTCCTACCAATATCGCTACCGACCACAAAATTACCCAGCTCTCCTCCAGTTTGACTCTCAAGTCGTAACTACTCCTGCACTCTGACTATGGAAATCCCACTCCCCGTGCTAGCTCTTGTTTTTGGCTTGGTCTCAAACCCCATCTTTCAAATGATAGCATATGGAACAGGGGGAAGAAATTGGACAACCTCTGCTACATCCATCAGTGCAGGAATATGCAAGAAAAATCATCTCTAATTCTTCTTTCCAAGACAAATCAGCTTTATTTTTTGCCAGTGCTTGTTCTACCCGTATCCTACGCTAATGCCAGCAAGCCTCCTTTCCCTTCTCCAGACCCTTTCAATCTCCGCTAATCCAGCCTGAAGGAGGTAGGATTTTAAATGATGTGTCTCTGGTGTAAACGATGGTGCTCGGCTAAGACTTCATCACAATGATTTTGCTGCATTTTCTTTGGAGAGCTTGACTGAATTTGGCTTTTGAACCAGATGTTGTCTGGGCCCCTGGTACTTTGCAAAGCTTGTTCAATTTGCTGAGTTAAACCCACAGTTGATTCATAGCTCTGATCTTTTCCTTGCTCATATACCACAAAACAGAAGGTGGGATTTTCAAAAGCAGCTAGTGCTTCCTGAACGTGGGTTGCTTTTTAAAATCCTATTCATAATTACCATTGCTTATAGGTTTTCCATTCTAGGAGCTCCAAATTACTCAGTATTGCTTGTCTGCAAAAATTTGGAAAAAAACCCACAGACCTTGTTTCCCGGGGGCCAGCTTAGGTAGCGTGACAAAGCTATTCTAAGGCTTTACACAATGAATATTACGCACGCACACCGTTTGAGTTTTCTTTCATGCCACAGCTTCCTTTTCCTTTCTTTCTTTCTTCTTTTTTTTTTTTTTTTCATGAGGTGGCTCTCCCGTCTCCATGAGTGGTGTGTGTGCATACCAGAGCGGAGGAGAAACCCTCATTTAACGAGGCCACGTGCCCGGCAGGTGATCTCCCCGGCTGTGTATCGAAAGCCTGGTTTCACACCAGCCCCTCATCCGCGCCATGGATGCTCGGAGCTGCGGACTCAAGGAGTAACGACTCTCTGCGCGCCCGTTTTGTTAAGCACAGAGAGCTCTATACATCCTACTAAGTAGTCCTGCTGTGGTAAGATTTCCTTAGAATAGTCTTTTTTTAATGTTTTAAAAACCGAAAAAAGTTGAGAAAGAGGAAGAAAGTGTGGTGGGGATCCACAGGGAGGATGCACAGTAAAGCGCTGGCTTTGCAAAGCCAGGCCCCTTGGGACAGGAGAGCCAGAGCGCAAACCCTCCGGACACCTGGACCAGCTCCGCTCTGCTGTGAACTGCACCGTTACCACACACTCAAGCTTTTGGGTGGCTTTTCAAAAAAAGGGTGTCCGAATTTGGCGACCAATTGAGTAAATTCCTGGTTTCCTCAGTTGCTACAAGCCAAAGGACAGGACTTTTTACCTGGCTCTGAAACAACCGGTGATGGGCAGAACTTCCACAGCCCAAAGCTGCATGTGCCCTGCATGGACACAGGCAGGACCTTGCACCCCTCGCCCAACCTGATTGAATCCCAAAAGAGGAGGAGGTGCCTGACCCAGCTTTGCTGAGAGGCGGTGAGTGCTCAGCATGTCCCACTGCACCATGGAAGCATTGGGGACCCAGTGCAGGAGCCCAGAGGTGGTGTGGGGGCCCAGGCACCACCCGCAGTCGGGTGGTGTGGGATGGAGGGGCTCCAGCCAAACCACAGCCACTGCCCGCTCTTGCTCCAGAGCCAGCGTGTGGCAGGACCTCCCTGCGCACGGAGAAAAGGAGCACAGCAGAGCTTTGCAGGGACTGTGCAGTGACACGGGGAGGTGGGCAAGGGCTCACAGACCCGTGCCAGATAACGGGAAGCAGTTAACCTTTCACTGGGATTTTGCAGCAGAGGGAAGAGCAGCATTCCCACTCCTGGGTCGCTCTGCAGCCCACAAGGACAGGAGCATGGGGCTGGGCTTGCTCCCTCCTGGAGAAGCACCCTTCTCCCAGCTGGCCGGCTGCTCCGGTGACTGTCACTACGGAAAGGTCAGGGCTGACGGAGGGCACTTGCTGTGGCCTCTCAGGCCACCCCTCCCAGCCCACCGCAGCTTGTGGGGGCTGCCCTCTCTTGGGGCTCTGCAGCTTCCCAAGACACCACGAGCATCTTGCTCCTCTCCAGGGCTACGAAAGCAACCGTAACTACAGCTGCGTCCTGAGCTGTCGTAAATCATCTGGAGGCCAAAACACAGATTGCTCCCATGCAATCTCATCTCTCACCTGCAGCCACACTGAGAGCTACCTCCTCAGAAGGCATGGAGAGCAGAGGAGATGGATGGGGAGAAGGGCTGGAGCATAACACCGCCCCGGGAAGACATCACGTTAATGCGAGAGATGTGACAGGAGGACACCAAGAGGCAGAGAGCGCACAGGAGCAGGAGGCTCGGGAACATTTTGCTGCAAGAACATCCTGACAGCTTCTTGAAATTGATGGAGGCAGAGGCAGGCATGAGAGGGGCTGGCGGCGCAGCAGCCCTGACGAGCAGGCTCACCATGATGGGAAGCCAGGGATCTGAAGCCCACCTTGCTCAGCTGGGCAGCTTTCATTCCCCAGCTTCTGGTCGCTCAGCGTGGGGAAAGGAGGACACTTTCTAGCCTTCCCCTTTCTCTCTGGCAGCTTCCTCGTGGCCAGGACGTGCCTCGGACAGCTCAAAAGCGGAGGACAACAGAGGCCATCCAAAAGCCTCTCCTGGCAATCAACTGCCTTCGTTACACGCCACTGAGAGCTGGCAGCGAGGAGCCACTCTGCAAACCCCAAGGCCCCACTGCCAGCACCAAGCCACAGCACAGTCCAATCTCAACCCCCCCATGAGCATGTTGGTGGGACGAGCTCTTTAATTCAGGCCTCGGTGGCATTCTCAGCAGACTGAGCGATGCGTTCAGTTTGGGCTGAGGCACAGCAGGGCAAGCCCAGAGCTGGCGTTCCCGGGGATCACCTGGCCACGCAGAAGTCAGGATAGCTGCTCGATCTCTTCGTCTTTCTCTGGGGTCAGTGCAAGCTGCCACCAACAGCCCTCGGACGATGGCGGTCCGGGCTCTCCTTTCAACATGCACTTAGAAACAATCACTGGTTTTATAAAGTTAGGGATGGGAAAGCTCCTCTGGGGAGCAACATTAAGTATGAGATTTCCCTGAGTAAGCAACAGAAGATGAAATGAATAGACATCGATCTTCTCCTAAAGGACTTTGTGCACATGATGTTGCTAAATTCCCCATCTGGGAAGTACAGAGGATAATCTATAAAATCATTTTATTTGACAACACGTCCGCTTCCAACACATAAGGAAACAACTGGATGGTTATTTGATTAATGTGCTAGAAAATATTGAGT